TTTTATTGAAAATACTGTTGATGTTTGAACTTATACTGCTTTGTTCCTATGTTAACCTCGGACATTGGTAACTTTGGAGTACCTATATTTTAAATAATTAAATTTTTTTAAACTATCTAAAAATGCTTTTATATTTATCGCTTTTGCTTTTATGGCATAGAAATTTGAGTAATAAAAAAATAAAGGCCTAAACATAAAAAAGTTAAACACTGCTTTAATGCGTTCGATTTTATTCTACATGGATTTACGCATGGAACACCTTATAGAATACAAAAAGTCCATAGTTTTCGATTCCGACTTCAAACTGACTGTTAACTGCTTAATATTAAATGTAAAGAATAAAAAAGTGTAGAGAATGATGTTTGTATTGAGAATTAATGTTGAGATTTATGTACGCGAGTGTCCTCACTCGCCCCCGCAGCCCACGGCCACCGCGTGTCGTCGACATATAGAACAAGCAAGGCGATATTTTGTATATTTACATTTATTACCTTTAGTAGGTAAGTAGTCACCATTCAATTAATATTCTACGTCTTAACGATATCGATAAATTAGATTTTATCTTTTACTACAGCGAAAGATTTGCGTTATAAAAGATTACCTAAAAGTTATGAAATATTAGTAAGAGTTAAAATAAAACATTTTTGATTAATTATCAAGTTAGTAGACAAACAGGTCTCTAGGATAAATAGGTGTGGAGTCCGGTTGAATTAAAATACTCGACGTCGCGATTACGGTTTAAAATTGGAACGAAAATATCTAAATTACTCGAAAGTTTATTCAGTGTTTTAGCTACAAAAGACAGTAACACGTCGCGTGGTGGCTACAAATGGAGGGCAATTTGTTGGCGCGCAGGCGAAAATCCTTCGTAATCCGCGGCCGGCGCGCTAATCGAAACATCCACAGGGCTTATTGACGAGCCGTCCGTCCGTCCGTCCGTCGCTTGGTGGCCGTTTACAAATACCTGTTTAAGCCCGTCAAAACTCTATCGCCACGAGAACCCAACGAAGCCTGTCTAAACAATGTTTCGCAATTATTAAACAACCAAATTGTGGTAAATATAGTCGAAGCTTGTTTGCAATTTCGAATAGCTTCTAAAAATAAGTCTTCACATGTTTATCAGGACAAGGGTGGGTAAAACATACAGTAAATTATAAGATGAAAAGACATAATAGATTCAATTATATTCTACTCTTTATTTTAATTATTTTTAAGGGTTCATTAAACCATTAGATATTGTCAGAGTAAATCAAAAAATAATTTTATCCGCGTTGAAAAATTGCAAGTTCTAATGATTTATGAATTCACATAACACGAAATAAGCATTCGTATATTGAAATTTAAATAAATAAAAAAAAATGTTGTGAAGTGATGTCGATAAGACGTGTAATCAGCCCAACGGTCGGGAGCCGACTGGCCCCACCGTCGGCCATGTTCCGCTCCTCCCTACGTCACACCCAACGCCCCCACCGCATCAAGTCTATGAACGACCTAACACCATCAAGCTATATGTTATCTTATGGTTAAGATTTTAAAGATTAGTTTCCGTTAATTAGTTTTACAAGAGGGAGCATTGTGGGTTGTACTCATCCCTCAGAGCCGTGTCATAGCTCAGTACCTAGTACTTTTAATATTTCATTAAATTGTTTATTCCAGATTAACTCTAAAGCAATACGAAGCAACTTAATTAGCTTGCTGTAAGACTTATTAAAAGAATTCAAACAAACGATATAATAATTTGTTTTAACTATTAAATGCTTACTTTAAATAATTAATCATCCAAGTGAAATTTATCTGCCTATTGATATTTATTTTTTTAATGATTTTCACTTTAATAATGTTAATTTAATTAATATAAAACTAAACTTTCTTACAGTCATCGAAATTTTTTTGTGAAAATATTAGCAGGTTTTTATAAATTAACTAATATTTCTTTTAGCATTCCAACTAAGCTCTATGCTTGTGCTAGGATATGGTTTACGATAATAGTCGAATGGCGCGATTCGAACCCCCGTCCTCGTGATCAGATATCCGTACCCTTAACCATTAGGCTATTGGCACTTCGAAGAATTAAAGAATTCAAAGATTAATTTATTTACCTCCGTTATATTTTAAACATTGTATTAGATAATTTCAATGTTAAAAGTAGGGTTACTGTTATTAAGTTATTGCCTCTAATCAAAGCATTAAAATCTCAATAGATAAAAAAAAGTTTATTAACAAATTAACACTGTTCGTATGAACATTATCAGTAAGTTAATTTAGATGATCATCAAGGTGGTAATTATGAATATTAATAATAAACCAAAAGTAGAGACTCCCAGCGCGTGTGATAATTCATTAGGCGCAGGTGCTGAAATTAGAAAGGCGCGGTAACGATCCCGAACACGATACATTATAGATAGTATTTGGGATGTATTTAGATGTTAAGTAGATTTTATCGTGTTTAATTAATATTATTATCTGATTTTTAAATACAAAAAATCTTATCAAATATATAACGCGACGATGTCTATTCTTGTAATTTTAAGATCTCCCGAGAAAAGACCACATAGACTATTTCTAGTCATTGTCAGTCATGTGGTTACTAAACAGTGCCCTATTGTAGATTTTAATTGAAATCTACACCAAGGAAAGGATGCTTTAGTCATAATTTCACGACACAGAACGTGACAGTCCATTTTCTCAGATTCCAGTAAGAGGAAAGTAATAACTAAAATACAATTATGGTTATAATCGATTCAAAATTCGTGTTATTTATCGTTACATCGTATGAACATAATCTAATCGATAGCAATTCTGTGTTTTCACTTTTTCATCGTATACACAAAGTGTTAAGGTATCGTAGTGTGAAATTAATTAAACGTAGTATTGCTAGTGTTGAGCAGCTTCAGTATATGCGAGTGTCTGATTACCGCGGCCGACAATCCGCGAAGCGTGGCCGCTAATGGAATCCTCATAAAAGAAAAAACGAGCGTGTTGAAATCCACTTCTATACTTTTGACATCTCATAGACAGTGCAAGCCACTTTTAAATAAAAAATGTTACTTGTTTAACCGTTATTTTCTGAGACCGAAATTTTTGTATAAAACATTTCATCGTCCCTGTCATTAAATTTGACAAAACAGAGATAACATTGTTTTAAACGGGGCTTTTGGTCTCAGAAACCCACGGTAATAGATCTGTAATCTTAATCTATTTTATAGTTATTATCTGGTATTAAAATGTATAAAACAAATGGATATTATACACAGTTTTAAATAATCAAAATAGTTTGAAGTCTATAAATGGTTCGGTAATGAGCGAGGCCGGTCTATTAGACAAAATTCACGATAAAGGTTATTTATGAACCGTCTACATTATAAAACAACTAATATTTGCATAACTTTAGTTAGTTAATATACATTTATTCTTTTTGTACAAATGCCAATATGATTTTGCACATTTATACTGTTAGGAACAAAATCCGACACTATGCCGGTGTATCGGCGCAACACTAGAGTTATTAAAATCAAGGTTAATGACCCATCAACAATCCGACACTTGACTTAGTAACGAAAGCGCGTCTTTCGCTTAAAATGATTCTAACTAATATTGCCTAAAAATACCAACATTACGTAATATTATTTTCCTTGAATAAAATTGAACGCAACATTTTACACACAAGCAGTTAGAACTGGTAGTCGCCGTGAGACGATAAGCTTGTTAGACGCGACTCGGGATGCAATGCAGCTACTGGTATAATCTACTTTATTTTATTTTTAAAACATGCCTTATTACACAGCAAGGAGTTATCTATACGTAAGCAAGCCTTTCGTCGTGTAATCACCAGCCAATACCTACGTGTAAACATAAACAGTGCACACAACACGGTAAATCTTGTTTTACTAATGCACTGAAACCTTAGGGCGTGAAAAGCCAGAGCGGATTTGTGTACGGTTTAAATACTATAAATATATCATATTATTTATGTTAGTTGATGTCAAAACAATATGTTTTTAACCTCTTCAAAATACAGACGTCATTTTCTTTTCAAAGTTTTACATACAAGAACAAATGTCTAGTAAAATCAGCAAATAATGGAAAGCTGTCGTCCGTAACGCCGTCCGCGCAGGAATAAAAATACTTAATAACCTTTGTGTTCATCCAGGCAAATTTCTAAATCTATCCTAAATTTCAGTGTGATCTCTATAGCCGTTTTGGATATAACTTCTAATAAAAATCCATCCATCCATCCTTAAATCCAAACATTCGCATTAGTAAGACATTTTTTCTCTACTTTTCAAACTAAATAATAGTTAAGAATTCTACTTGTAACTATAATTTCCTATGAAATCATAGGAATCTTAAATAAGCATAAAAAATTATTAAAATTGTATATGGGTACTTACTACTGTAACTGCACTTTGTTACTTACAATATATATATTTAATTATCTATCTCATCCGACAAGGCGATGTTAAAAGGGAAGCCGGCAAAATTAACACTGGTACGTATTAAAAAATGAGAATTAATTATGGTGGGTTAATTATTTCATCAACGGCGCGAAGTGGCGTATCGGCGCATCTCATCTCTCAGCCGACAATTCATTACAACAATATGATGAGAAATCACCGACAATATCATTATAATAGTTACCTGTGCGCACATTTGTGTAATTAATTGGCCACATGTACTCACCTGTACTTGTACCTTTACTTATGCACTGCTGCGTGCGATTGTACATAGTAATAATTAAGTATATTTACTCTTTCATACTATGTTAATAAAACCCTGGCAAGAATCAACTTCAAATATGTTTTCATATGTGTTCAACCTTAGATTTATTTTTGTTATTATATAAAACTTAATATTAGATAGTCTTGCAAAGTACAAGGTAACTGCGACATAAATTTAACGACAGATATAGTCTTCAAAAGTACAATAAATTTAAAAATGTTGGTTTTAATAAAGCTTGTTTTAAATTACGTTAAATTCTAATAGTATCTAACATTCCACAGATCGTCTTGAACTCAATGCATCGTTACCAGCCTCGCATCCACCTGGTGAAGATGCGGGAGGGCGGAGGACTTATAACGGACCTGTCACGCGAGCAGCACAGGACCTTCGTGTTCCCAGAGACGGTGTTCACCGCCGTCACCGCCTACCAGAACCAGCTCATCACCAAGCTTAAGATAGACTCCAATCCATTCGCCAAAGGATTCAGAGATTCCTCGCGGCTTACTGATTTCGACAGGTAAATATAAATATAATTCTATAAACCTCTACTAATGCATACTCTACAAATTTATAGTACTTTTAAACGATTCCATTTGCATTCGCCCGGAACGCATTACACTTGACTGAAATTCTTTTTACTTAACTAACTAGCTGTCGCCGGCGACTCCGGCCGCTAGGAATTAAATAAAAACATAATTAGTATCCTATGCGCTCTTCCATAGTATGTTCTATAAGTTTGCGAAATTTCATCGAGATCCGTTCAGCCGTTCTGGAGATACTTTCAAATAAACATCCATTCATCCTTCTAAACATTCGCATTTATAATATTAGTAAGATATGAGTAAGATATAGCTATTAATTTAATAGTAATTACAAATAAGAGTCGACTTTCATGCCAACTAACTACCAAAATTGTGTTAAACAATGATTAACTTAGATAGGAATGGTAATTGAAATCGTCCATAGAAATAACAGTAACAGTAAACTGAACACACGTATTGACAGACTTGAGAAAATGCCTATGCCCTTTAACTCCTTTACAATGTTTCTTATTAATTTGTTAATTAGATGCATACTTTATTACTGCTTGTTATGATATTCTTAATTATCTTGTGTATTTTATTATTGCAATAAATGCATTTAAATGCCAATGACATAAAAGTTTTATAGCGTTACTTCATTGTAAAATGTTAATGTATGGTGACGTGTTTTGTGTTTATAGAAAACGAAATGGTTCGTTAAACGATACCTAATGACTCTAGTTTTAAGTTTATGTTTATTATAAGTCGATATTAACCTTACTATTTTACTAATATTATAAACTAGCTGTCCGATAAGTTAAATAAAAAGCAGCTCTTCAAAAAAAAAGAAAAAATAGTATCCTATTTTCAGGCATATCGGTAAAGCCGTTCTTGAGTTATAAATACTGTAACTAACACGACTTTCTTTTATATATATAAGATGTGGATGGATAGACGTATCAGAAGGTGTATCTCAAATGGGTCAACGGATCTTTATAACATTTCGCAGAGATATCGAACATAGCCTAGAAGTGATTTTTTAATACTCATTAAGTGTTTTTTTTAATTCCGTGCGGACGGTGTTGCAGGCGATAGCTAGTAATAAATAACTAGAAGAACACATACGTGACTTAAGTTTGATGTTTTTTGTTATATAAGGACGAAGTCGTGGGCGACAACTTACTATAATAAAGATGGATCAGTTTAGATTCTTAAAACACATATATTAAATCTTTAAATATCTCAATTAGCACAAAGACATCAAAGTATTTATATAATTTTTCAAACCACAATAATATTAAATACACAAAAACCACAATCGGCAAACCAATAACAGATAGCGTCTAATGAAGCGTATAGTTTACAAAGTAATATGAGAAGGAACGCAAACTGTAATTGAGTAAAGAACAATGCAAATAAAACATATTTTAAAATACTAGGTATCTCGCGCGACCACCTCCGCGCGGAATTAAAAAAAAAGCTCAAAAAGTAACCTATGTGTTCTTCCAGACTATGTTCTATATCTATGCCAAATTTCATCAACATCCGATGAGCCATTCCGGAGATACCATCTTAAAAATCCATCCATCCTTACAAACTTACGTATAATATTAGTAAAATGAAACCACCACTTTAAAATTTGAAGTTATAGTGGGTTCTATATCCTACGCTATTAATAAAATGTGTGTCCAATACGTCGTTTGAGGTGGGCGGTTGAAATAACGTCAGTGGTAGCACAGCAATGCAACGCTACTGAACCGTAGTTTAGATCTAACGGTAACGAATGCGTGGTCGTGAGTACAAAGCTTTATTATCTGATTCCTCCTAACTCCAACCCATTGAACTTACTAAATTGAAGATTAAGATATAGTTTTTGGAGAACTTATCAATTAATGTCGTAAAAATGAACTTATGTAATTTTTTCAAACAAATATCAAAAAATTCCTTATTCGGATTTCAATACTGGAAAATTTGAATATAACAAAATTTGGAAATTATTTATTGTTGAAGAACATATTCTGCCTATTTATATAACTGATAGCTGTCGCCTGCGACTTCGTCGGCGCGGAAATAAAAAAAAACTTAATTAATAGCCTAATTGTTCTTCCAGACTATTTTCTAAATCTATGCCAAAGTTCAACGCGATCTGTACAGCCGTTCTGCAGATATCTTCAAACAAACGTCCATCCAACCATCCATCTAGCGAAACATTCGCATTTATAATATTAGTAAGATCTTAGATTACGAATGTTATTAGCTAAACGATAGTTTTAACTACAAACGATTATTTGGTATTTGTGAGTTAAACCGAAAACGGTACTAGAGTATACAAGTTAAGGATATATTATTTTCATGCGTCAGGTAATTGATAGGTTGTTAGTTGTTTTCTTTAAGCAATAATATGCAACTTACAAGTGCAGAATAATGTAGCAAAATAACGTTTTCTACATATTAAATGTAAAGGTGGTCGAGGTCTGGAGGCGAGAGATTGCCGCGAGCCGTTTTACAAACACTTACCACTACTACGATAGATTAGCCAACTAAAAAATAATGTTAAAATGCAACTTCTGCTATATTTATTGGATAAACATTTAGTAATAATAAAAAGTGGTTACAAGAGCTTAATTTTTTAATATTACACAAACACTTTACGACATTTATTATGGACGAAAATATAAATTTATAACATGCAAAAGACATAATTTGGTTTTTATGGATATCGACAACTAAATAAAAGACTCTTCCCAAAATAAGTCAGCGCATTCATGACGAGCGAAGGTTGTGTGAATTTTAATTTAAGGTTGGGCGCTATATTTCGCCGGCACGTCTCGACGTGGTCGCGGGGCAATGCGGGGCACGGTGGGGCGGGGCGGATGGAGGTGCGAGCCCGCGGCGTCGGCGCGTAATCACAGGGCCCGCGCTCATTATGCCCTAAACGACAAATTAAAGCGCATTTCTATTATCCGGCCATCGGTGCGATGCCTCGGACCGTTCGCCCGCGGCCATCTTGCCAACACGCTCAACTCGAATTATTCTCGCTTCGATCGTCGAGTGTCGAAAACTCGTAGTAATTTTCGACGAGCCTTCAATGACGTGTTAAATTGCCTTTAGTTATATCCATTGATATAATTATCAGGTGTTTGTTTATTTGTCAGGAATGTGGATACAAACTAGTATAATTTATTTACTTGACTATTCGAAATATTAATTCATAGTTAAGTTGTACGAATGACATTTCGATATTGCTGTGTATTTAATTACAGCGCGTTATTTGTTATCTGAATAACTAAATAATTACGATGACTTTTATAGTTCGTATTGAAATGATTTGTTTTATTTGTTTAATATATCTTTCGTTGTAATAAACATAATTGGGAAATAAATAATAGATCCAATGCTAAGATAGTCATTTACTAGCGACAGGATTTGTGACATTATATAATTTTATATCTTTGACTCTCATCGCCTTAATATTAATTAAATAATATTTTAAACATTGATTTAAATACTACGGGCTGAGTCATGTTACATCCGTAGCTAACGTGATAGGCAGAATTATTGAATCTATTAATAATTCAATCTGGAAGCGCGTCAGTACACGGCTACCGATTTGTATTAATTGTAGTAGTCGGTGTCGGCGTCAGTGTCGGTGTCGGTGTGGTAGGAAGCGGCGTTGATAGTCGAGCGCGGAGTGATTGAAGGCTAATTCCAGATGTTATCGAGGCAATTAGCTGGTCGACTCTCGCTCCGCGCCCCGCATGCCCCTTCTCGCCTTATCCCGGTCAACGCAAACACGCCTGTTAATCGGTTACAAAGTAACATTTGTACTTTTTTATACATTAAGCAGTCAAATGGTAATTTTTTGAGGAGAGCGGTGAATAGATTATTCCATTTGTAATAACTGTTAATTGCAACAGTTCCTAATATTGCAAAAAATAACGATTGGAATGTATGATATTATGGAATGGAAATAGTATAGAAATGGTTCATCTGATTTGATGAAGATTTAAGCGTAAATTAATTTTTTCAGGGACCGATCTCATAGGGTCTAGTCCAATGTCTTTGGGCGGTCAACATTTGGTCAATTTGGACATAATAAAACTGGCATTTGTTAACATAATAAAACAGAGTTTGATAATATTTAAACAAGTAACTCAACATGTCCGATAATTATTTACAAATTGTGGCCACTCTCTTTGGCATATAACAAAGTTGTCAGGCATCGGCTACCGAACTCAAATGTCGATCAAATTCAGTTCAACGAATACGATGTTATCTCACGAAGTGACCACACTTAACATCTGTCACATCGTATACCGTCCGCTCCTCGAATGTCATGATTTAAGGAACCGGTTTACTAATATTTTAATAAAAAATTAAGTATAGTAGAGACGGATTACAAGTTTGTTGATTCTCATGGGTATGTAGTACTTAAAAGTCGCCGATTGCATTTCTTTTAGTATAAGTAAGTCACATATTACTCACACGGAATTAAACATTAGAATTTGAGGATATATTTGCCATTTATCGTCGAATCTCCTTGTGAACTTATGATAGAGTAAAAATTTCTTTGTGGAAATTTGAAGCCTACAGATTTTGTAGATGGATACTTTAATCATTACTCTGCACGGTGAGTTAATCTAAAGTAATTGCATTGTTAACAAGCTTCCTTACGTATTCTAACTGTACTCAGCCTCGCGTGTATTTTTTTAAAGGTTGGTACACATTGTAACATACGGTTTGATGCCTTCTCATTAATGTATCATTTTCATATATCATCTTTACATGTACCTACACCAGGATTTTAAATAAGGAACATTTCCTTTCATTATGAACATTGAAATTAAAAGTAGATTAAGTATATGCTTCAACCGCAGATAACCCCAATGTTGCGATTACTGGAAATACATTTTTATGGAAACAAAACAGCGTCTATCTTTTAAAGAAAGAAGGCCTTCCTCAACTACAATTATAATACTAAAGTAGTCAAAAGTCCGAAAGTAGAAAAATAATTACCGAGTTTACTTCCACATACAGTTAAGTATAAACGCTTCAACTAATGTAGTCGAGTCTTAATGACTTCCTTCGCTGACGTCCGAAATCGCCAGACAATAAGTATGATAAATCGGCGGTGTGTGGGAATCAGAGGACGGTGTTATTAGCACGGAATAGCGGCTGCACCATTAATTAATACAACACCGCCCCCTGCGCCCTGCGCACTCTCATGACCCCCCGCGACCACTCTCAATCCGAGTTGTTTAGGACGTGTTATATTTATGCCTCGCCGCACCTCCACCTTGATTGCCTGCGATTAACTTGCCCACTAGTTGGATTTTTATTGACAATTGTTCATAGCTGATATGATATACAACTGTTTAATTTATCTATATCTAGATATTATTAGAATGTAAAATACAGCCAGAAATCTTAAAGCAACTTTTACACGAATAGGTACACTGACACATTTACTCTGGACTTTATTTATGTTCTAGAAAACTGTCGACAAAATTCAGAATCGACACTGGTCGAAAACAATATAACTTGTGTAAACAAAACAAAAAAAACTTTATACGACCGATAAGCGTGAACGACAAGTCATCTTAATCTATGAAAGTTATTAGCCACGATTACTACATATGTAATAATTTATCTATATTATATTTCGGAATGATTAAGTGTAAAAATATAAATATACACTTTGCTAAAATATTGTTAAAGGGACATGAGAACACCCATTAAATTTTTTATCTCCTTACATGCCTGCTAATCTGTCCGGTATGTGAGTGTTATTGATAGGGATGGGCCAACCTGTCGATTAATATATCGATATTTAACGCTCATAAATCATTATTATTAAATTAATGTTCTATACAAATACTAGACGTAAGAGAGTGCCTTTTTACAAAATGACGACGAGCGTATTTGAACTATGGTTGAAACATAATTTTAACTTAATCTAAGTATTCTCTACTAGTTCCTAGTAAGCTATATGTTTATTGTATAGAATTAAATAGTCTATTGTAAGAGTAAATCATGTTGTGTATCGTGGAAAGGAAATCATGTTTCAAAGATATCTGATGAACGAATGCATCGTGCGCGCGTTCATCGATATTCATATTCAGTAATCGTATTGTAATATCGATACCTGAACTACTCGCGTATTCGATTCGATCGGCAATCGTAATATCGATAACTGGTAGGCGCGGGCCTAGCGCGGGCCTCTTAGAGACGCCGCCCTGTAATTTGCCGGCGCAGAGTGTTGGCTATTACTGCTGATACCGAGATCATAATAAATACGCCATTAACGCCCCCGCAGCACCCGAAACGACATAACCACCCGGTATAACGCCTTGTATCGCACCTCCATCGATACTTAGGGAATGGTTATTTATGTTATTAGAAGAATCTCTTTTTTCAGAGTTTCAATTTTTTTTGTATGACATTCAAAATATTTAAGGGACTTGAAATCGTGCATGGTTAAAGTTGAGTGAATTTTAATTTATAATTTTAAATTGTCAGTAGATATCGTATGTTCTGATGAAAATGCTAACATAGGTACTAAACGTGGACCTAATTTCTGATAAACAGGAGGCTGCTCGAGACTTCATCGACGCATTAACATCCATCCATCTATCCAAACATTTCTTATATTAGTAAGATTTCTAGATAGTGATAAAAAGTGGACCATTGATGACCCTATTAGTACACCTTTAGGTTATAAACTTGTACCGTATACTTTGAGGTGATGGAGTTGTTTTAATACCCAATAATTACCGAAGGACCGACTTCAATAATAAAGTATTAATATTTATGAGTGGCCAAGTTTATAACCTGTACAACATAAAACGTTCCAATATCATTTTCTAGCAAAGCTATAAGAAAATTAATTATCACAATACATCTTCGAATTAACACTGTCATTAACTATAAAACGGTAAAGTGGAACCTTGAAAGTTAAAGCTCAGTCACAGGCCGACACTTGATGCATCAAGATTTGTTCTGGTTTATTGCCTGGTTGTGGGTATTAAGTATTTCACACATTAGAGTCTCAGCTGCGACGCAATCTCCGTTAAAATGGTAGGCCATCTCCGATTTGTAATAAACGGAACACGCTTTTTCAACTAATAACATAATAATCAAATTGAATCGACCGTGTGAAGTTGTTTTGACTTCGAGATATACGTGAGATAATACAGGGTACGATGATATTGTGTCGGCCATTACGTTTTTGTGGAAATTAGGCACTTAATAAAAAATCTATGTTTCGGCTGGCGTGTGTGGGCACCGAGCGGCGGGCGGCGGACGACGGGCAGGGCACTACCTGTGTTGCCGGGCCGCCGGCGCCCGCGGCACTCGCCCGGTGATAGATTAAATTCGTCACGGCATCTCGAGACGTCACGCCGATCGTCTCGCGTTCGCTTCGGAGCATCGTCACGCTCGTTTAGCCTGCGCCCGTCGACGCTCGTATTTCACAACGCGCGTTAATAACCACTCAGTTCAGCTCGTGCAAAACCGGCCGTCGCTAACTTACGAATTCTATAGAGCGGGCGTGCAAGATTCATATTGCACGCGTGCGCCGGACGATTATTTCGTAGAGAGGCGAAAATAGCGAGTTAGCGGGAAGCGTGCTCCCCGGCGGTCGCGCGACCTCCAGGAACCAATAAAGGCCATCAACCACTGCGTTGCTATAAAACCGCCGGGTCGCGCCGCCGCTCGCCGCTCGCCTCCACTACTCGCCTGCGCCGCTCGCCTCGTTAACGGCAAACTGTGCGCACTCGTAAATCTGATTCGACGAAACAATAGCCACGAACTGACCGATATATAGATTTAAACTATTGCTGACTGACGCGTAACAAGACTCTTAAATATATTTACATTTGGAACTGTTTTCAAAAGTCACTTTTTGATTATCATTTCTTAATTTCTTCCATAACAGGTCTACCACTTTCCGCATATTATAGTCTATATCTCTGAATCTGGTATGACAATTCTCCTTGCCGCATATGAATTTAATTTTAAGAAAGTTTATCCAACTCTTTTGTGTATTCGTCGGTTGGGTTAACACCACCAACTCTATCGTTTCTTCTAGTTCTTTTCAGAGTATCCACATTAAAAAAGTTCATACTGTTGGTTGGCACTAAGAAAAAATGATAAATAAATCGACCGATATAAGTCTGAGTAAATATTAACGCTATGACAAACTAATACCACCAAGCTATACACCGTAATAACATTTTACGATATTTGAAAACATCATGTGTCCCGCCGGCGGGCGCTTCGTTCCCAGAAGCCGGGTTTATAGACTACGGGCCGCTGAGAACCAATGTACAGTCAGCCACGCAGCAAGGGCTTCGTGGAATCCACCTCGAGTTTGCAGGCGCACATTCTGTCCAGCGCTCTCAGATCTCACACACAACACGACTTCCCCTTCCGGAACATCAGCATCGAGAATACACAAACATATTTTACCCATAGAAATCTGTTGTTATAAATGCGTTTGGATGAATGGATGGATGAAAAGATGTTTGTTAGAAGATATCTGCAGAATGGCTCAACGGATCTCAATAAAATTTGGCACAGATGTAGCACATAGTCTGGAAGAACACGTAGGCTACTAACCGCGCGGACTGAGTCGCTAGTGACAGTGACAGACAGTTAGGGGATAACAAGTAAATTTCTGTTTCTAATTAAATTTTCTGATACACTCATTATAGCTGCGACACGTGCTACTATAATATATCTGAAAAGTGTTGACCATCACCTTCACCATATCAGAAAACCTTTCCTAGTATTTACAAGTCGTGATTACTCCATAATGGAAACAAGTCGTGACAGTATGTCAGTGTGTTCGTATTACTAAGCAGTCCGAGGTGTTGCACGCGGTTGTCGAGCGAACGTCGTGGCATGTCGCGCCTAACGTGTAATTTAATTTCCTTCGCCTCGATACTAATTGCGGAGAGCTGAGGCCATTAGCTAAGCCTTTTGCCAGTCGCAATGTGTAGTAGTTCAAGTGATTCTTAAGTGTAATTCTAATAATTTCTGTTTCCATACATACGCCTTGTTTCAAATGGAATTGGCTCTTTTTGAAATTTATCGCGTGCTAGATGTAAGTCTAGAAAGTAATTCCGTCTTCAACACCGTAAAATACATCAGAAAACAACACTTTCCGCAGTATTCGTAGTTTAGCTAAACACCGTTCTTCTTGAATTTTCATACTTTGATTGAACTACAGTGTTAACTCCATGAGCAGATGATCTTGGAGATGTAAATAGAGATATCTCAATAAGTAAAAAAAAAATGACGTGAGCAGTTGTTTCTGATGTTGTACCTTTCTACTTTCTCAGAGACCCAATGGAGCTGATGCTGATGGAACAGCAGCTGCTACGATCTCCGCTGCGGTTGTACTCGGGCGGTGCAGGGACAGGTAGCGCCGCGGAGGAAGAGGAGAAGCGGGCGGCCTGGGCGCGCACACCGCCTGCTTTGCAGCTGCTCGCGCTTGGCGGACGCGCCTGGCCCGCCTGGCCGCAACCTCTTACCCTGCCTCCAGATCTCTGGATGCAGAAACCCCCCGCCCCGCTAAGGTACTGCCCATACCCGCCGCCGGCACACCCACGACCAGATCACTCGCCTTCCCCCAGACATCCTCTGTGAACTATGAAAAGACATTAGCCGGGACTGGATATAAATTATTAAAAGAAGAATGAACTATATGAAGTGAAAGTGCTGTGACTATATTGTGTGTCCATATCCAATTGGCATCTGTGTACATGACTTTTGGATGTGGTATCCTACAAGTATTAATATATTATATTTAACGTAGATTACGTAGCGATGTAATAGAAAATTGTTATTGATTTAAATAATAGTAACTTAAGGTGTAATTTCAATGTTCCTACCCAAGAAAATAATAATTTTAATTGTATAGTTAGATCAATTTAAACAATAGTTACCTGGTTCATGATCCTTAACCTTGGGAATTACTTGAATATAACTATACATAAATAACTTGCTATAATTTACACGAATACATAATAAACTTCGTACAATGAAGATTATAATTAACCAAAGAATAATCATTTTACTAACAATTTTTACAAAACTGATATTAATGTGTGAAAAGTGCTGTATTATAACTCGAAAACATGATTTACATAACTATTTTACTAGAATATTATTTATTATTTATATATTTGTATTATGTAAAACACCATTATTACATTTTTTTGTTATGATGTATGAAAAACCATCATAATGGAATCATTTTCGTATTGCTGAAATCACGATATGTTTTTACTTTTAAAATATAATTTAACAACATTTTTGCTTTACAATATACATTCCATTTTCAATTAACAAATAAAAATCGTAATATGACAAAAATTTTGTCTAATGTTAAACGCAGTATTCCACTGCACTTGCACTGTATACTATCATCCTTTGCATTCTCTATGAAAGAGCAGAGGCAACGCGTGTGGGTTTCTGACACCAAAATCATATCGTTACGTATATAAAACATATCGTTATCCCTTACATTATAATTGATAAAACAGAGATAGCAATACGATTTAAACGCGGATTTCTATCGGAGAAACCCGGATAGTAAGAAGACATGTGCAGGAAAGCCGTTATATAAATTGATTGATTTTTTTACCTTGGGTTTCTGAGGCTAACATCTCCGTTTTGTTGAAGATGATTTTGTTAAAGACAGGGATGACGATTTGTTTTATACATAGTTTTTGATCTCAAAAACCCACGGTTAAAGCGTCAGTTTCCATTCCGAAAAACTCGCAATATTTTTGTATTATCGGGTAATCTGGGGATTATTTATCTTTATACTATAAACAATTATTTATAATCTATAAAAACTTCTACTCTTGTGTTAAATTAGATGATTACATGAATTTCTTTGTTAAATCAATTGTTAATTCATACATAAAAAAATAGGACCAAAACTGTTTATATCAATTCAAAATAGTATGTAGTTTTTTGTTCAGTTTTTTGCAGAGAAAAAGCAAAAGCAACTATATTAAAAAAAAACAATTAAGCTATGTTTAATATGATTGAAAATCGAATTACAGAACAAAAGTGTAGAGGAATTAAACAGTTTTGATCCTATATCTCCGAAATATTGTAATTATAAAGCAATCCAATCCAAGTGATATACAGCGTTACAATGTATTTGTATGTATATTGTAGTATATAAGCCTATTTATATTCCATTAGTGTATAGTGTTACAAGATGTATGTATTGTATAGTAGTCGACTAAATTATTTTTTTAGAATAAGCACTGTATATAAGCACGTAGCGGTTTGTAATGGATAAAATATGAGAGTATATGTTAAGTATATAAATCGTAGTCGCTGCTCCATTAAAAATACATAATAACTGTATACAAATATGTATATTAATTAAAGAATGATTTCATAATAACTGTCGCGTTCTGAACTTCAATAGATTACCTATTTAAATAAATATTTATAATATGTTTTATGTTTTAAACATATATAATAATTCATTGTGTGTATATGTATCTGGTAAATGATTTTACTTGTACTATAGTCCGTTTCAAATGTAACTTCAAATGTATTTTGAATATTTTTCTATTGATTTTTCATAGATGAATGTCATTGGCTTGCACATTTCTATTTGAAACATTTGATGAACTCTTTTAAACTTAATTTCAAACCCATATTGTATTAAAGTTTCGTTTTTTTTACATCATTAATGATTGTTTTATCTTATGTTTAATATTTATTTGTGGAATTTCCTATTATATTACACTTTAAAATCTAAGGAAAATTGTCAATATAAATTCATCATTTTTGAATATATCTGCTTAGTGTAATCTTGATATTAAAATGTAGAAGTTTCTTCGAATTGTCATGAAGACAAGGAATCCAGATTATATATTGAATCAATAAAACTGACATGTATGGTAAAATTTTTGAAACAATTTGTGTAACTTTTGAGGTTATTTTTGATTTCTGTATTGTTATTTATAGATTTATTGTGAGCAGGGAGCGAGTGTAGTATCACATATCAGGGTGCCACCCTACGTGTTAATAAACAAAATGAAATTGTATTATTGTTTTATTTTTTTATATATATTTTATATAATAAGGTGGCAAACAAGCGAGCGGCCACACGAAATCGTTGAAATAGCGAAGTGACCGCTGCCCATAGACATACGCAGTCGCATATGCGTTGCCTACCTTTAATCGACGGAGGAGAGGATGCACAGAAAGAAAATATCTTCCCTTTCCTTGCATCCTCTCATCCGGAAAGTCCAGTTCCACTTCTCATCCTTTCCTTATAAAGAAATGGGAAGGGAAAGAGGACTAAATTAGGCCTCCGGGACGGACACTTATCAGACGAAACGCGAAATTGCTTCTATTGCAGAAAAATATTGAACTATTTCTTTGAAGACATTAGAAACCTACGCATTATAAAGAATTAAGAATATAACATCCCTAGACCAACACTTTCATATTATTGGTTAGGCTAATTATATTACTATAATTAAATATTATAAGCTAATGATGAAAGACATCGCGTATTCTTTTATCAGAGTTGCCATACTGGATAGGCATCATACAATTATGCATATACGTATTAATAGAATTCATTATGATATTTTAAAAAATCAGAACTCACTCTGAAAGCCGTTAGAAGGTTATTAAGGGAACCTATTTCACGTGCATTTTTTAAATTCTATTGAATTCATTTCATACATTAAATAACTAAAATATAATCTTACTAAATAACTAACCACAACAAAATAAATGAATTAATTAATACTACATTAAATAAACTATATACTAAACCTGACTAAACCAAACTAAATAATATAAAAAATCGACCCCAAATCGCTGCGCTCGCAAAAAAAAAAACATTTTTTTAAAAATTTACTTTTACTGCGTCTATTAATTTTTAAATTTATTAATATTTTTTTTTAAATACAGAGTTTTTGTTTTAAATCCATATTAAGAATACTAAATTAATGCATAAAGTGCAATAATTAACATTCATGTCCTTCGAAGCCTTAATATTATTCGGATAACAGATAAATGCGAAATGTAATATAATTTTAGCGTCATAGCCTAATGGTTAAGGGTACCGAGTTTCGATCACGAGGTCGACGGTTCGAATCCCGTCATTCGACTATCGTCCCTAACAATATCCTAGCACAAGCCTAGAGCTTAGTTGTGATGGTAAAAGAAATATTAGTAAATTTACAAAAAAAAACTGCTAACATTTAAAATAAAAAAAAAACATAAATAATACTATCATGTTTAATTACAAACAGAAAAAGGGATATTAGTGAACGGTAAGTATAAATAACGTACCCACGGGAATTTCTTGACGCGTTGGACCATTAAAATTTACGAGAGGCACAATAAATAATCGTCACACTTTTATATCCCGTCTTTATTAAGTATCATTAGGCATTATTAAGCGTATACCAATGATGATCGGCCTTCCGTCTGCCGGTAATTGGCGATGTAAGCGGCCTACAAATTGAAAGCGTCCGTAGCCCGAGGCGAGTATTGATGGATTTGCAGCCATCGCAAAATTATACCGCGCCCTGTGACAGCCACGCAAATTGTGCGTATAATGCTAGTATGTACAGCGAACATAATTCGTTAATACCACTAAATATTATTTCCAGAAACTAAGTCCCGTTTGTCACCTGTTCGACCGCATTGTACAATTAGTCGTGAATCATCTTTAAGTTATTTAAGAAAAAAAAATTCAATATAAAAATAGCGAAGTTTCTGAATAAATTTTCAATAATGATAGAGTCAAAATGTTGAGAAACACTAAAAGATAATTAAAATGGATTTCATTATGTCTACTTGTCTAGCTAGAGTCCAAAATTTAGTGTTGTTTTAATAAAAAAGAAAATCTGCAAAAATATTGTCAGTTTAAAGGCAGCAATGATAATGCAAGGGTTAAGAGCTTCGGGACGATTTGATCGGCCTTTGTCCGCGAGGCGTGCGAATTAGTGGGCGATGGGCGCGGGCCCACCGAACCGCCGAGTCGTCGCGCCGTCGAACTGCAAAACATAAATTAACGCAGACGCGTCTCGCGGCCCACTGATTGACTCCTTTCATTACCGTCTCGCATTGTTCGCCACCAGAGAAAAATTGCACATCCTTTCGAAATCACAACACATTTCATAATTATGGACTATTGTGGAGTTGTCGGGGCTAATTCCTCGGGGACGTGCGCTCTCCTCGCCCGAGAAGCGTTCGAGATATATTAGCGGACGTAAAGACGCGCCCCGGCTGGGCCCATAATGGCCGCCGCTGATTAGTTTTCAAGGGAAACACTGGTTCGAAGAAAGCTCCGAAGGATTTAATGTTCTGTCAGTGCGAATGGGCAAATAGATAAACGTGAGCACGTACGTCTGCTAGATTTAGAGTAGTACAAAATTATCTATACCAGAGATATTTTGAAGTGATTAATAATTATTATCTCATTAGCCAAGTCTCTGCCACTTAGAAAGGATTTTAATTTATTAGCAATAATTGGCTTCATTAATCGTCCGCGGTGGTATTGTTCGCCTGGCGCTCGAGATTATCTGCGATTCAGATGAGCGCGGTGTCGGCCCCACGTGCTATCTCTGAGCGTGGCGGTCGTGCCCGGGGCACGGGGCTCCGCTCTTCGCTCTGTGGGAATTATCTTTACGAGTTAAACGAACGCCGCAATCTAACGTTTTAAAAATCACCTTCGATTCACAAATCGACTTCGACCCGCGAAAGAGGTCGAGGATCAAATGGAAACGCTAAAAGCGAATTCGTGTACCATTGTAGCGTTTTCGCGAAACGTTCTAGATGTCTATGTCTATCTTTCTCGGGCCGGACGTACGGGTTGTCCATGGCAAACGTTTTTCTAAGCCGATATTGTAATTGTTCGAACGGCGGTGTGTCGGTGTCGGCCGCGTCCGGCCGTCGCCGTCAGCTGCCAGGGCGGCGCAGCGAACGCGGTCAGCGCGGGACGCGGGATAGACAACTAAATAGAGGCGAGCTAATCGTCGCGTCCAGCGGAGCAAGGGAAACGACGAATTACTCCGTCACGGAGTTCCCAACGATTGCTTTGTTGTTGGCGATAGATGTCCGGATCGCAGCGTGGCACATGACTGAACCCTAAGCGGCGGACT